TAAAGAGCTGAGCAAACCTGCACTTCCACTATGAAAGTAGCCCAGTCCTCCATCTCCCTTCCAGACCCGAAAAGCAACACCTACATTTAAGTCCAAACACAGTATACATGACAGAGTCATCCTCTCTCTGGTGAAGAAAGAGCCCTGGACAAGGTAACTGCAGGATGGGTCAGCCATTAGGCCATCGCCGATGGCCATGCACCCAGGTTTCTGTGGCTGAGACAAAGAACCCTGATATTCACATACTGCTCTGTGTCCAGGGTCCAGCAGAAGTAATGCCTACGTGAGTGTGGTTGGTAGGGTGATAATCTGGGTGTCATAATTTATAGTTTTCACTTGGACATCTCACCTAAAATGTCATACAGTGTGCTTGATTGTGATAGTGTTGTGTTACAGAATTACACATTTGTGATTTTGCAATGAAAGAGTTTGTAATAAAAGAGGGGCGTTACTTATGCCGGACCCTGTATTTCGACATTGGTAAGCCCTGCCATCCAAAAAGCCCCAGGAGTCACGTCTCCATGGCCCTTGTACACAGAGTAGAACTGAACCTCGCACAGACTCAAAAGCCTCTGGAGAAAGATCATATTTCCAAGAAGAGTCCCATGAAGAAATCTTCATCTGTTTAAAGCCCATGTTTTATTTTGTTATAAATTTCAGGGCGCATACACATACTCGTGCCCTGAAAATAACAGATTTATTCCCCTGCAGGAGGGGGCAACAACCCTTGGTTAAACACTAAAAGGCAGGAGCTCAAGTCCTTGAACCGCTGAGCTCGGCCAGCAGGTTGCTTAGGGACAGCTCGGCCAGGCCGTGTGGCTCTCTGCCTGCACTACGGGAGGCAGAGAGGGGGCAAGGGCGGAAGCTTGGAGCTCCACGGACTTCTGGAAAAGAAAAACTCAAGAGTCATTGGAGGGCATCTGGGGCTCAAAATGAGAGAATAAAAGTGCACAGCACCTAATTTAACCCCGGACTGAGGTAAAAAACTGAAGGAGACGTCGATATTTCTGCAAGTGGCCGGGGTGGGGGGAGGGTGAAGGGTGTGAAATCAGGCTTGTAAACGCTGTAACCACACTAAGATGTTTTTATCTTTTTTCTTTTCCTGGTGTACAATTACAAGTACAACAGCCCCCAAGAGCCATGCGAAAAGTCTCAAAGCGAGTGTCCTAAGTGGGACATTTGGGTTTGCCGTCTTGCACTCCAGCGGCATGGCCCTGATGGCGGCCAGAGGAGAGGCAGGCCACTGCGGTCGGTGAGGTTAAAGGGCGTCTGTGGATGGAGCTCTCCAACCTCAGCCCCGGTGAAGTCCTGAGAGAGGCTCCCCTTGAGGCACCTCTTCCCTCACAAGCACATGAGGACTCTGCAAAGCCACTCTGGAAGTGGCTCTGGGCATGACCTGGCCCCCACGGAGGGCGAGTTAAACTTGCCAGGCCTCTGAAAGAGTGCACCCCCTTGGCCGGCACAGGGTTTGGTGCTGCCTGGCTACTCCCTTTCCAAAGGCTTTCTGATTCCGGGGGCTTAGTCGGCCTGGGGAAGCAGGGGCGTCCCTCCACCGTCCATCACGAAGACCTCAGCACTGTGGGTTTATCAGACCAGTGACTCATCTACCTGCAGGGCATCTGAAGGCTGTGCCTGTCCAGAGGGAATGCCACTGGGGGGGATGGGGATGGGGCACTTCCTGGGGGCGGCAGGAGGACACCAGTACCCAGAGGTGAGGATGGCGCCTGAGTCACTTTCTGCTCGCGGGCTGCGGTGTTGCCACTCTAGGACAGCTATGGAGGCAGAAACCATGATCCCAATAGCGCAGCTGAGAAACCCACTCAGCCTAATAAACCCGAACTTGACTGCAACTCCCAGCACTTTCTCGCCCTGTGCACCACTGACTTCAACCACAAGAGGGCAGGCGTCGGCGGGAGATCGCCCACGGGCAGCCCAGAAGGAAGCCTCGAGAGCTGAGCTGAGAGCAAGCTCCCACCAGCCAGGCCAGTGACCGGCACTGACACTTTTAATGCAACAAGCTACACTCTTATTGAGGAGAAAGGTTCTGGATGTCACTCCCATCCGCTTAGAGATGGGGATAGGGAAATATGTAGAGAATATATAGAAAATCCTCACTTTCTATTTGTTTGTACTGTCAACAGTAAGTTGTCCAAAAAGAGATAGAAACCTGTCCTCATTTCGTTGGTTACTCTTTGTAGTGTCGAAGAACACGTTTTAAACTTTGAGTCGGAGGCCCTGAATGCTAGTCCTCACACTTCTCTCAATAAGATCACGACCCTGGGAAACCACCTCCTCAGGAACCACGAGGAACCAGGAGTCTGGGATGAGCTCGGGGCGGGGAGGGGGGGTGCGGTCCAGAGACCCAGTCCCGCCGCGGAGCAGCACGCGGGGGCGGGGCCAAGGAGGGAGAGGTGGGCGCAGGTGTGAGGTCCGAGACGCTCCATTTGCACGGCCTCCCCGGGGAGCCAGCTGTTCCACTTGACGGGTTTCCCGGATAATCGGATCTTAAATGCTGAAACTTGTTTTCCTTTCAACCTTCGGTTGCGGGAATCTTTCTAAAGTGTTATGGTATCTTCTCGGGCTTCTTAGGCCGTGAGCGGAACCTGATTTAACCTTGCCCGGATGTCTCCAGGTCATCACGATGCCCACTCCGCACCGCAGACACGGTCCTGAAGAGGGCGCCCGTGCCCTGGGGCACAGACAGGTGGGCAGGGCCCTCTGCCGAGTGGTCCCTGAGACCATGTCTAAAGCTCTAATTGGCAAGTCTTTCCTTCTTGGATCTCCTACATCGCTACCTGCTATCATTTCTCCAAGTAACACCTTCTAGCAGCCTCTTGACACTCTGTTTAAAATCTGCCATACTCTAGACAGAACTCAAGGTTGCCATGGGTAACCAGAGTCTGAGCCCGTAACAACCCTACATTTAATTTTACACACAATTCAAAGGCAGTGGGTACTGTGCTAAAGGCTACTCCTGGCCTGGGCTGATCTTCAGCTTGTTCGCCCAAGGGGTAATGCTTCTGTAGCGGCTGGCCAATCACCCTGCGCCCCGGGCCCTCTGGCCAGCCCAGCACCCTGTTCTTGCACAAGCTGGAGTCCTTCCCAGTTGGCTAGTACCCACGCCACACTGGCTGCACAGTATTTGAATATTGCACTGTTTTCTGGGTTGAAGATGAGTCTCTTTTCTGCTGAGCGAATTGCCAGAGGTTGAGGCTCTTCTCCGACCCTCATACGCAAAGGCATTCCCTCGGTTGCACGCTGAGCCCTGGGTTCAGGTCACCTGAAGCCAGCCAGCTGGGGTGTTAATAGCTACTTTTGATTGAATATTGAGCATGTGCCAGATGCACATTCAGTACGTTATATAAATCATCTCAGCTCATCCACAAACGGACCCTGCTGGGGAAACAGCGCTGACCTCCTGTGTCTGCAGAACGTGCCCATCACAGGCCCCGTAAGCGGGTCTGGGAACCAGATCCCCCTCTCGGGGGCGTGCTCTTTGCACCATGTTCCGCTCAGGTTTATTAACGTGTAAGAAAGTCCAGTCCAGGGTCACATCCTGGGAAACATCTTAAGTGAAACACAGCCCTTTTACTTTTCAAGTAGATGGCTTTTCAAGCCGAAAACACGGCTACTTGTTTTTTGGTGTGTGGGTTGTGTTTTAATTAATTCCACATTGTGTCACCAATTTGGAACAATCTGTCCTCAGGGAACAGATCTGGTTTACTTATAGAAATCTAGCCGAGGGAGGGAGAGACTGCGGTTATAAAGTATTTGGAGGAACTAATCAAAAAAAGCTTTCCCAGTTCTCCCTGCACCAGACAGAAGTAAATAGAACATTCCAGAGAGTCCCATCTTCCCAGAGTAGGTGTGACAGAGCTCACACACAAAAACTCAGCTAAGCCTGAAAGATGGAGCATGTGACAAGAAGAGAGCTAAGATCCCTCCTGTCCCGGAAAGTTCCCTAGAAGTTCACTCCAGGATGATGCTGTTACGACCCAGGAGGAGGAGGGCTCTCAGAGCCAATGGGGGAGCCGAGGAGTGAGCTGTGGACCTCGGGGGTCTCGGCCAGCCGTCAGCCAGGAGCGGGGTCTGTAGCAGAGGGACAGTCACGGATTTAGCTTTGGAACTGGTCCCGCGGTGCAGACAGATGTCATCCCCACGGCTACGAGCCCTGTGGTCTCCCCAGGGAGGGACTTTGCACAGTGACTCTGAACGAATTTTTAAAATAAGCAAACCATGACTTCACCGTCCACACTCTGCACCTGCTCCTCCCACGGTGCGTGCGCACGTGACCCTCCGTGTCCTCTCCCGGACGCAGCCCCAGAGCTGTCACGTTCCAGAGCAGCTCTTGTCGGGTGGGAGGAGCCCCAGGGAAGAACTGAGCAGCCACAGGCGACAGGGCTCTGGAGGCCGGACACCCCACAGCCGGGGGTTGGTGCAGCCACGCTCCCTCTGCGGTGACCGGGAGAGACAAACGGCAGGCCCTGGGCCCCACTGCCGGTAGCTCCTTGGCCTGCAGCAAAGCAACTCAGCCTTCTCCTTGTGGGCTCGTCTTTGCCGTTTTTAGAACACGAGTCATATTGGATTAGGGGCCTGTCTTACTCCCATGTGGCCTCGTCTTAAGTAGTAACATGTGCAGTGGCCTTCATTCCAAATAAGGCCCTATTGGAGGCACCAGGGGCTAGGCCTTCTGCGTATAAATTTTGGGGGCAACACGGTTCAACCCATAACATCATCTGAGGTAGTTTTGAATTCAAAATCAGCCTCACGAGAAGGAATGGAATGAACTTCCCCAAAGATTGCCTCACAGTATAATCGCAAGTAACAGCATGGGTGACATCTTTGCTCCCCAGGGTGAGGCGCAAAGGAGGCCGTCGGCTGTGGAGCAGAGAGGTGCGCTGGGCTCTCGACAGAACCCTAAGTGCTCCTCACCACTTCTTGGGACAAAACCCACCTGGGCCTGTGCCACAGGTTAGCGTCGCGGGAAACCCCCCACTCACCTGGCCCCGCTGACGTCCACGCCGACCATCAGCTGCCCGTTCAGGGAGAGGACCTCGTCGCGCAGCCGGACCTTCCCACTCTTGCCGGCCGGGCTGTTCTTCCTCAGCTCCGTCACCCAGATGCAGCCCACGTCCAGCACGGGCCCCTGGTGGGTTTTCCGCTTCTTGCCCGCCCTGCGCTTTTCTCCGTAGTCCCCGAACACAGGGATGTTCCCAAAGCTGAGGCCCACAGTGTCTGTGTCCCCCAGCTCCTTGGAGAGGTACACAGTACAGATCTCCATCCCCGGGGGGCTGTGGTCAGGGGGGCCCGCGCTCTCCTCCACGGAGAAGTTCAGCTGGATGTACTCCCGCAGCTTCTGGATGGCCGCCTGGCACAGCCGCTGCTCCGGCCCGTCCCCGCCCTCCCGCACGCTGTTCTCCAGCCACCGGCAGAGCAGGGGCAGGTGCCGCCCGGCATTGTCCTGGGTGATGGGCATGGTGCTCACTCCTGGGCGCCAGCATCATGAGAGGACCTGCTCCTGGGGGCCGGGCCCCACGGGGCCCCACGTCCCTCGGGAGCCCTGGCTGTCATCAGCTCTGCCGGCGCTCATGTCCAGGCTCGAGGACGAGGGGTGCCGGCTGGAGACGGGGCCGTTCGCCTTGGCAGGAGGAGGACAGGACACAGACACACAGAGGGGCAGGCGTTGTGCCTGGAGGGCTTAGCGAGGGGAGGGGGCAAGTGTCTGACAGTCACGGCTCGGCTCACATCACAGCAGGGCCACGCAAACGGCCCGGAAAAGGCGTGTCCCTTCGTCGGCCATAGCACGAGCTGATGGGTTCCTTCACACCTGGAAGGGGAAAAGACAAAAAAAATCCCTTTGGTCACGACAGTGAGCTTTCTGACGCAGAACACGTGGTCTCTGGTATTACAGAAAGGCAATGTTTGCTTTCTGAGCCAGAGGCCGAATGCTTCCACCCATCCCCCAGCCCGGCTCCCCCCACCCAGTAAACACAGACGCACACGGAAACAGACAGACAGATGGACACACCCACCCACACCCCTCCCCTCGCACAGAAACCTCTGGAACACTGACTGCCCCCAGGAAGGTTCCCTGATCCCCAGGGAAGCGAGATGACTTTCGCCAGGTCAGCCCCCAACAAGCTCGCACGGACCAGAAGGCTACGTGGCAAGACTCCTTGGAAGATCACAGAGGGGCTGGGACTTATTTAAGGCCTTAGGTCCCTAGGAAGTTGACATCTATCTCCCTTTGCCTTGACGTGTCCGACTGTACGCACCGGAAGGCTCTCCGTTCGGGAACTGTGCTCTGGCAGTGCTGCCAAGAGGAGAGGGGGTCAGCCAACCTCACGGAGGCTCGGAGACTCGGGCTCAGCCCGGGACGCCACCGTCCTGAGCTCAGCCGTGGACTTGGTCTCCGTCACACAGACCCGGGGGAACCCTGTCCCTCGGTATCCTACAGCTCTTAGGCTCCTCCCTTCTTTTCCTTTGGTACACTGTTCAAGCCAGGCTACTCCTAGACCCATCCAAAAGCCTTCTCCTCCAGAGAAATGTTTCTCCAAGCTTCTGGGCGAGAAGGTTGGCTGCTCTGGGCTTGGGCTTCAATGCACGACTTGGAGCGGCAAAGTGCCCGCTGGCTGCGGGGCCAGCTGCAGGGGAGGGGGGCTGGCGCAGTCTCGCCCCTGTGGATTTCTGCACGGTGCCGGTTCTCCCCCAGTGAAAGGTTAATTGAATTTCATTACCAGTTCATCTTCTCCACCAAAGAAAATTTTCACTTCCATTCCCTGTAAGTGCAGAAAAATGACCCCTTTCACTCTTTCCTCTGAACTTCACTTGCGCCCAAAGTCAATATAAACTGGGCCATCAAAGATGCAAGACATTCTTCACCTTCTCAGGAAGTGATTTAACAAGAAATAATAATAAATGGGAGAGGTGTCAGCAGCCCTGTCAATAATAAATAGCCGTATTACTCAGTGACCATAAAGAAATGTCTGGTATCGTAGGTTTTGATTTTCCAAAGAACTCGAGTGCCAGCTATTAATGGGTTCCAAATACATCAGAAGCTCAGCAAATATCATCTCCATAATCACATGCCCATTAAAAAGAAATGCAAAATCAAAGAAAAGACAATCCATACATGTGCAAAAATAGAATGTTCCCTTTGGCCAAAATAAGTAACACCTCGAGCTGAAAAGTAATGCCACGCAGGCATATTAACATCTTATGAATAAATGAAAACATTTTCCATCAGGCCTAGCAACCTTTCCGAGTCTCCTTTCTCTCCTCTGTAAAATGAGAAAGTTAGGCTAAGTGATCTCTAAGGCCCCTCAGACTCTGTGGAGAGATCCTTAAATACAGTGACCAAGTAATAGTCAACAATGTACTCCCTACCCCAGCACCGTGCCGGTCACCTTGCATACTCTCAGTGCCTTCAAACAGTTTTTTAAAAGAGGCTTTACATTCCAAATTTTAAGGGTCTGTGGTTCAAGGCACTAGTCTCGGCTCCAACGGCTCCATGCAAATGGAAACAGAGTACATGTCTTGGACAAGATATTCTCTAAATAAGTCTGACCAAAGAAAACCAAACTTTGGAGCAATGGAGAATTTGTTTTCCTGATGCCGACTTCTATTCATGCAATGTGTACTTACTGAATCTCGATTAAGAACCAGACCTTGGCACTGGGAATATACTGTCAATAAAGCCAATCCCTGGCCCTGAAGGAATTCATAGTCTAGAGGGAGATGCATAAATGAATGGAAACCACTGTGTAATGAGTCTTACAACAACCCTCTTAACACAATCGACAAAGGTGCCCTCCTGGCAGCCGGGCCCACGCAGTCTCAGCCCCCCCACCCTGCCCTGGCGGGGGTCCCGGGACTGGGCATCTCGTAGGAGCTGGAACAGAGTTCTTCCCTGAGGACTGAGTGCTGGGGCCTGGAGAGAAAGGGTCTGGTCCCAGGTGTGAGGCGAGAACTGTAACGTGGGATCTAGTGGTTGTAAATGGCAATAGTCTACGGGGTGTGTTGACTGAGTGGCAAAAAAAGCCATCCTGCCACGAACTAAAACCCATCAGTAGAAGGAAGAGGCACAAGACTGGGGAACAAGTGGGCTCTGGCCCCCCGACAGCAGCCCTGGCCTTAGAGTCAGCCATGCTGGGTGGGGGGGGGGGCCTGCTGACCTCCCCCTGGGTCTGAAAGACCACAGCCATCCTTACAGTCAAGTACATTGTAAAAACGTACCTACTTCAAAAAAAAAAAAAAAAACCCCGACAAAGAAAAACTAAGCTAAAAAAAACCCACCTTTGAATAAAAATAAAGTTTACCTTGAGTTGTTTTCTATACTTTGCAACTCAGAAGTTGTTAGGTGACATACATTGGAGGTGAGCAGAGCCGACTGGCTCAGCTTGGAGCATCGTCCATCTGTGGACCAGATGGTCACAGCCAAGGGGGTAGAGTCATGAGATGCCAGCATGGCTGCCGGGGGCCCACCCTCTGACCCTGCACGTGGGGAGGGCAGGGAAGGAGTTTTTCAGGAAATGAAAAATTGTTTCAAGTGTACAGACACCCTCCAAGACCATCTTACTTCGATGTTCATGGGCTACACAACTCTTGAATTCCATACTTGTGATTCTGAATTTCCCAGTGATGCTTCCAGCCCCCCGTTCTATCAACTCCTTTTCCTGGGAGTTTCTGTAAACAAGAGGAGTAGAGGCTGAAGGGGTCAGGCCAGTGTCCTGGCCCCCCAGACTGCTCATGACCCTGTCAGGCCAGTTTCCCAGCCCGCTAGACTGCTGGTGACTCAGTTATCCCGGCTCACTTCATAGCCCGAGGCCCCATCGGAACTCTCTCCCACCTCACTCAATAGACGTCTGGTGCCGGACATAAAGGCCCGCGGTCAGACTGACCCTCCCACACCTGGGAACAGCCCGGCCTTCACCTAACCCATTGTCCTGAGTCACGTGCTGGAACCCTGAGGCACCCGTCTGGAAGAACAAGAGACTGACCCCTCCCCTATCGCCTTACAAACCCTGTGCTTTTTCTTTTAAAAATCCCATTCCTGCCTCCCCCTGAAGTTGGGGCTGCAGTTGGTCCGGACTCAGACCACCTGTAAGCACAGCATCAAATAAAGTCACTTGGATCAGATCATCCAGCCCCTCCTGCCTCTATATCTCTACCTAACAGAGGTATTCCCACCCAGCTCCGTAATTTGAGATGACTCAGGGTAGCAGATGCACAATTTGGCAACGCCATGGAATGCATGGTTCTTCCATGAAATCCACGGAAACATTACAGTAAACAAAATATTGCCCCAGAGAAGATACAGAAGAACAGAAATCTGCAAATGGTCACGAACACCGACATTCCTGTTGGGCCGACCCCACAAAGGTCTAAGAGCTCCTCACCCTGAAGATCCATCCACATCGGCCGAGAACACAACTTGTGGACATGGAGGCCCACTGCACAGTCCAGTTGGCATCTGTCTATTGTGTATAATTCTTCAATTAGAGTCTCATCTCCAGCAAACAGCCATGGTCATTTAATTTAATTTTGAGTAGCCTGAAGCTGACAGCCTTAGCATTCAAAATGAATGCATCTGTCACTGAGATAATTTATTGATGCTGTGTTTACCACCTACCAACTTTCTTGGACCCCGTCAGGGAACTCATCACTCACAACAGGCTGGTGTCCCTCACCAGGAGGGTGAAAACTAGCCTTACAGAATGCACCTGTGGGCGCCGAGAGAGACCAGGTACTGGTACCGAAGCAAGCCCCCTCCCCTGGGGTCTTTCTGTCACTGTGGGTTTGTTGCCTGCCACCAGATATTGGGAACGGTGGCTCTCAATGCCAGAGTTCAGTAAAAAGGGAAGAAACTATTTATTCAAAAGTTATAGAGGTTTAGAGTAATGGAGGAATGTCGCTGTTAAAATCCCAAAGTCCCTTTAAAACACCCACAAACACACACACACAGTCCCGCCTTCCCGCCTTTGCCCAGCCAGGCCAGTCAGGGGCGCCGCATCTCAGGAAAAGAGAAGTCGGCAGATCGGCCAGACTCCCGGTTCCTCCCCATTATCTGTGCTCTGCCAGGCAGGGCTCCCGCAGTCCCCAGCACCATCAGCGGTGTCGTGCAATCTCCAGTTCTTAACCCCAAACCACATGACACCTCCGCATGGCCCGCCAGCCAGAGTCCTTTCACCCCTTTTCTTCCCGCATGGTCTTACATGGTCCTCCGTCACTGTCTCCCATTGTCTCTCATTGCCCCTCGTTCCATACGGTGGCCAACCTTTAGTTTAAATCCCAGGCTGGATCTTCCTCTGTCACCCCATTTCCGACTCCTCACACAATCAGCTACACTTGCTGGCACTCTCACATTCTCTGCCTTTCTTGGCTGCCATAGTTAGTCCGGGCAGGTGTGGCTCTGTGGTGTGGAGTGAACCATCTCCAAGCTCTCTGGCAGGAGCAGTAAGGGGAGCTGCCTCCCATTACACCACTGGTCAAGGTTACACCCTCTCCCTAGGTAGCCTGCAGTGATATGCAAAATAACTCTCAATGGCCATGCTCCATGTCTCCCATCCCCCAGCCAGACTTGTGTGTGTGGGATTTCCTATATTCCCAGACACCCCAGGTTCTGGACCCTGTTATAAATCCCCTCTCAGGCCTCCCAGCCCACACCCATTGCTCTAGTTCAAGGGTGGGGGGGGCATAAAAGTCTTAGATATTACAATGGTTGGTGCCCCCCAACCCCCTGCCACAAAGGCAAATCATACCTGAAAAAACGAATCTTACTCCTTAGTCTTTAACTTCTGTGTTAGAGAGAATTAAATTAAATTACAT